TACCATAGCAGGACCAAGCCAGGAAGGGGAAGGAAGCTGGAAACTTCTCCTCATGTCCTCACTATGGACAAGTTAGACCAGGGCAGGACTTCAAGGCTGAAGTACTCCTTCAAGGAAAGAGTGATGCCTTTCCTGTACATGCTTTCTCTAAAGCTGTGTGACATGGTAACCCTCCCCACCAGTGGCCGTGTCAAGGGCCACTGGGAAAGTCTGCCCACGCCCCGCAATCCAGGAGGTCACAGGGCCCCGAGGAGAGCCATCTCGGGCCAAGACCAATCTGCCCAGCTGTAAATAAAACAGAGCTGTGGCTCGCGTTCAGCTGCTGTTCCCCGTGCGCGTCCAGCTCCCCAGAAAGAGGAGGAAGTCTTGAGGGAGGAGTTGGGCCCCAGAGCCCGGTCTGCAACCCCAAGGGATCCCGCAGCTTGGCCCCAGGCAGACAGGGGAGCTGCTGTTGGGGCCGCAGACAGCTGTCAATTATCACATGGCCGCCTCGGGAGGACTGACAGCTACACGGAGCCACAACGGCGCTCCCGGGCCGGCAGCTGATGTACAGCATGGCTCAGATCCAACCAGCAAAATGGCTTTTTCCTCGTGGCCCACGCCCCTCCTCCCCTAGGGGAGGGTGAAACGGTGACTCGGTCCGCTGTTAACCCGTGCTGAACCCGGCTGTCCTGACGTGTGCAGCCAGCCCGTCTCCGTTGACCGTCGCACGGCTGGCTCCCCGAGGTGACCGTGGGGGGCCGGCTCATCTGTCTCCACTTAGCCCTCCTCCGTTTGTCCCTCTGCTCCTCGGGGACACCCAGCCCAACCCTCCACCCCCACCTCCCTGCCGAGGTCCAGACCTGGACCTCTAATGCCCTCGAGGGACTTGGCAAGTTTTCATTCCATCCAATTCTCTGATTTTAGACCCTGCTCCTCTGGGCACTTGTCCTGAGACTGATGGGACGGGTCCCCAGCCCTCGCACCTCCCTCTGGGCTGAGTGTCTGACGAGCGAGTGGGCTGCTGGTGTGCAAGGGGGTGGGGTGGGGGGGCACTTCTCCTCAGCAGCTGGGCGTCAGGCGATTTTGGCCCATGGGGCAGGATCAAACTTCACAGAACGAAGCCTCCTTCCTAATGTCCTGTTTGGCTTCTCGCCAGGAAGGGCCCAAATCAGAAGACGTGGTGGGTGAGGTTGTGGCAGGACGCATATGAGGGGCCACTCCTGGAGCCGGCTCCCAGATGGAAAGTCTTGTACAGTGGGGCTCTGGTTTGCACCTAATTGGGAGCCATGGAAAGTTCTTGAGGAGAGGAGTATGTAAGCAGAATGATATTTTAGGAAAATGTGCAGGAGAAAAGCCTGGGGGTAGAGGACCAGTTAACAGCTCTGCCACAGCCTAGGAGAGAGGACCTGAACTACGGCAAAAGTCCAGAAAGCACCAAAAGGTAGGGACAAGCCACAGGTTGAGCAAGCTAAGAAGCCAAGGCAGCAATTTCCTCTTAAAAGTCCACCCGGAGGGGCACCTGGGTGGCTCAGTGGGTTAAAGCCTCTGCCTTCAGCTCAGGTCATGATCTCAGGGTCCTGGGATCGAGCCCCGCATCGGGCTCTCTGTTCAGCAGGGAGCCTGCTTCCTCCTCTCTCTCTGCCTGCCTCTCTGACTACTTGTGATCTCTCTGTCTCTGTCAAATAAATAAATAAAATCTTAAAAAAAAAAAAAAGTCCACCCAGAATGGAACACGGAGGCGCAGGAGGGAGGTAGCCTTCAAGAACATTCAAGCCAGACACTTCTCACAGGTGAAGAAACTGTCCCCCAGAAGCCCAGGGGAAGTGACGCTGAGTGCCAGGTCCAGACTAGCCACCACTGAGTGTTTTATGATCTCCCTCCCAGTCACCCAGTGAGCCATTTTTTTTCCCCTGGGATCATGAAAATTGGCAGGGAGAGGTTCACAGATGTGTCCCACACTGGGGCTAGAAGGCAGCCTGCACTTACTCCACCCTGTTCCCCTCTCAGGAAGTAAGGGCCTGATTCTCTGGAAACCAGCAGTGGCCAAAGAGAAACAAATTTGGTTTTAGATCAAAGGGCAATAGTGGGAGAGACAAGCCAAAAGCACGTTGCCCACCAATGGGGGAGAACGTGAGAGGGCACCCACCTGCTAGAACGTGGGGCCAGCTACAAGTAGCCCCTGGAAAGGGCACCAGTGTGATGAGTCGCCGGCAAACAGAAAACTGAGTTCGGCTGTGAACTCCGTCGGTAATGACCGGCGCCCCTCATCCACAGCCAAGAGCCCTCGTGAGAACTGGCCCACACTCAGAGAGGGAGGAGCCCCAGAAAGGGCCAGGTCCCCTTGAAACAGAGGCTGAGCTGGGGATACTGGGGTATCGAGCGTGGGGTCTTCAGAGGAACTTGTAGAGAAGTTGGGAAAGTAGGCATGGGAAGACACGGGGCCGAACAGAGACATGGACTCAGCAGAAGATGGGGCAACCAACCACCCTGGTCTCCCCAGGATGGACAATCCCCAGGGACACAGACTTCCAGAGCTAAAATGCAAGTCACGAAAAAACTGGGACAGCTTGGGCACCATACGTCCACCTGATCCCACAGGGACCTCTGGAGCAGGAGAAGTTCCCACAGTATTGTCCCTTCCCCTTAAAGCAGAGTCCGGGCTTTTGTATCCCTGGTGGAGGTCATTGGCCATACCTCTTCCCAACCCCCCAGGTGAGGGGTAACCTCCAGGTACCCCTGGATAAAGTAGATCCCATCGACCAAGGATGGTCTCTATGAGACAGAGGTGGCCGTGAGCCAGTGCTAGCCAACACGGATCACCGCTAACAGGTGCAGCAGGCAGGGAAAGGGGTCTTGGCGACACACCCCGCCGGTATCCGCTACAGGAAGCTTGTAGCCTCCAAAGGACAACTTCCTCCATGGCCTTCATGCCCCGAACTCTCAAGCCACCCTCTCTAGTCCCTTGACACGCAGCAGAGTGCCTCCAGCCCTGATTAACAGAGAGACGTGCATCCCAGGGGGACTTCTGGGAAGCATGCAGGCCAGCCGTTCCTTGCTTCCCACGGGTGCTAGTGGCATTGTTCAAGGCTTTCCCTAAGGCCTCTTTGATGCAGATGAGCGAAAGTCCCCAAGTTAAACTCGTGGTTCTGCTAATCATCAATGGCACAGAGCACGGCATCTCTTTGCCCACATTCTATACGTAACTAAGCCCCGAGAAAAATGTGAAAATGTTTGGTCATTGGAAACTGCCTATCACCTGTCTTTTTTTTTTTTTTTTTTTTTTTTTTTTTTAGATTACGAGGGTTTCTTGGGACTCCTTGGTGGCGTTTCAAGTTTGATGAGCATTAGTAGTCAAAAGTTCAATTATTATGGAACGAACAGAGGTGTGAAGTGTAACAGATTCCTAAGATGCATATTGGGTTTCTCCAGGAATTTGTTCAATGGGCATTTATTGTGTACCCACTGTGTACCATGTGGCTCGGAGCTGCATGCTGGGGAGACAAGAGGAAAAGCACCAGGTCAGGGAGTTCGTGGTCCCATAGGAAGCCAGAAGCAGATGAATCCCAGGGATAGTGCTAGGGAATTATAGAGTAAGGGGCATCAGCCTTACCTGAGGTAGGGCACTGGGGGTAGCGGGACCTGAAGACCCCTGAGAGCTGATCTTTAAAGATGAAGCGTTTCTCAGGTTGAAACAGACACTGCTACTCGACCCCCAATATCTGTAAATTTTTCCTGATTTGGGACCCAAACCAAAGGACATCTGGAATATAAACTATATTTCCCAGCTTCCTTGCGGCCAGACGAGGCCATGTGACTAAGTATGCTGGTTGATGGGATTATGGTGTCCCTGTGTGACTTCCAGGAAACATCCTTCAATGGAAGGGGCATGCCCTTCATCTCTTCCTCCTTCCTGTTGGTTTGTGGACTGCAGAGGTAATGGCTGGAGCTGGCGCAGCCATCCCAAGTCATGAAGTGCACTCGTGCTGAAGAGGATAGAGCAACAAATTGATAGAAGCCTGGGTCTCTGACAACTTTGTGAAACTACTAGAATGGTCTTGGGGGTGTAATTCCAGTTTTATTTACAGAAAAAATGTACTTCTATTGTGTTCAAGCCAGTGTTATTTTGGAGTTCCTACAACTCTCTGCCAAACCTAATTCCAACAGGTGAAGAAGTAAAGGTAGAGCAATTCCATCCTAAATGCACAGCCCATGAATTAATTACATTGGCTCTGGCTTTGGCTTGTGTGGGTCATTTTTCTGGTGTCGGTCCCCCTCCCCCCAAAGTTTCTCACTAGCCCTTCTGCTTTTTATTTCTCTTAGCCCCTGTGCTGGCTGCACACTGCCAGAGCCCTTTTCACAGAGGAAGGACTTGCTGTCTCAGCTTCTGGGGGTAGTGTCAACAAAGAGCCTTTGGCTCTCAGCTCTTTGGGGGCAAACCTCTCCCCTAAGCTCACACTTCTACTCCATGTAATAGCCATCAGTGACTGATGTGGAGAGAGGGAGGCTGGCCATCTTGGCCCAACTGAAGGCCCCTCTGTGGGGCCATCTCCTAGCTCCAGAGCTCCCCACAGCATCAGCTGAGGCTGGTCCTGGGCACATGGCAGCTCAGCTTCTCTCCCCACCGGCTCCTGCTTCCTTCCCCTTCCTTCTGCATGGGTTGATCTCAACGGCACTCCTTAGTTCTACTGTCCTACACTTTGAACTTCATCTCAGAGTTGGCTTCCTAGACCTTCTAGCCCCAACCTGCAATGATTCTGATTTCTCGGGCTACATCCCAATCCTTCAGCTTCTCCCCTCTCCACCATCTCTGGACAACAAATTAGGGCCAGTGACCCCATCACTTAACACCATGTTCAACCAGCACCTCCAGTAATTAGCACTTACTGTGAGCTTTCCGTGATCCTAATGGAAGCCTCTGAATGGACTCATAAGCTAGAGTGCCCTCTAGCCATCTCCAAAGTAATCCACAAGGAGGCAACATGGATAAACTGAGCCTTGAGTACAAATCACAAAACCTGGGCTCTCCACCCACCTTGGCCTCCAGTGGACTGTGTGACCTCAGAGGGGCCGCTCAGCTTCCCTGTGCTTTGAAGGCTTGAACCTGAAAGCAAAAGCCACAATTTTGACTTCACAGGCCATTTTTGTTGCTAAACCAGAGGTTGGCAAACTCTGGCCTGTGGGCCAATTCTGACCTGTCACCTGTTTTTGTAAATAAAGTTTTATTGGAATGCAACCCTGCCCGTCTGTTTCAACGTTAGCTCTGGCTGCTTTTGTGCTATATAATGGCAGAGTTAAGTAACTGTAACAGAGCTTATCTGGCCTGGAAAGCCTAAAATTTGCTACATGATCCTTTGCAGAAAACGTTTGCTAGTCCCTTGTATAAACAAATTAACGTGTTACTGTATTTCTTGCCTCAAAAGTGAGGACTAGAATCTGTCCATTCATTCAACATTTATTGAGCACCTACTAGGTACAAGGCCTTGTTGTAGACACTGGAGCAGCAGTAGTGAACAAACCGCGGGTAGCCCCTGCTCTCCCAGAGCCCACGTTCCGGTGGAGGAGATAGGCAGTAAACAAACTAATAAATATGTCGTAAGTGTCATGGAGAAACTAGAGCAAGGCATGAGAGAGAAAGAACGGGGTAGGGTGGGCCTGAGATTTTCAGTCTAACGTTAGAAGAGGACTCCTCTGATGGGGGTGGTATTGGAGTAGAGACCTGAAGAAAACAAGACAGCAGGCCATGCAGATATCTGAGGTAAAAGCATTCCAGCAGAGGGAGCAGCCAGTATAAAGGTCCTGAGGCAGGAACATGGCTGGTTTGTTAGAGACACATAAGGAGGCCAGTGTGGCTGGAGAAGGGATGAGGGTGAGGAAAGGAGAAGGCAACACCAGGGCACTCACAAGGGCCCAGATCCTAGAGGGCCTTCCAGGGCATTGGGAAGACTCTGGTTTTTACCCTGAGAGAGATGTGGTGTCACAGGAAAGCTCTGAAGAGAGGAAGGACATGTCGGACTTAGATCTAAGGATCCTTCTCTCTTCTGTGTAGAAAATGGACTGTAGAGGTCACAGGAGGGGGTGATAGCAGAGGGACCAGGTGAGAAATTAGGGAAGCTCAGACCAGGGAGGTGGAGGCAGAGGTGGGGAGAAGCGCTTAGACTTGGGACGTTTTGAGGGCAGAGCCAATAAGCAAACATGCTTGTCCTGAGAACAGGGCTGAAGCTGGAATTACCTACTTTGGTCTTTTCCCTCACATGGGGATCTTGTCCCCTAAAGCCATTTTCTAGATGCCTGGCATGGTAGGAATTTATCAGCCCTGGAAGCCCTCCCTGTCAGAAATTATCTATGTGAGCGTCACTGCTGAGGGAGACAGATCTCTCCTCACCCGGGGGGATTTCAGCAGCTAGTGAAGGTGACAGAATTTCCCCCGTCACCCCCTCCCTGTTTCATCACAGCAAAGTTCCTGTGGGATCCAGAGCTGGTTCGGGGGCAAACAGGCAGACAGAGCAAGCTTTAAATTGAAATCAAACCTGTCCCTCCTCCACCCAGAGCCCTCCTGTGACACCCTGGGTGAGAAGGTGGGGGTCTATGCCCCCCTCCGCCGGAACCTGGGCTGACCTTAGTGACTCACCAGCAGCCCGTAGAACGGAACAGAAGTGACGCCGCCTGCCATCTGAGGGGAGCTCAAAGAAGGCCATGTGGCTTCCACCCGGCTCTTGGAATGCTCACTCTGGGGGGTGCCAGCCACCACGCAAGAAACCCAGCCACCCTGAGACACCATGCTGGAGGGTCCTTGCTTACGTGCCCCCATCAACAGTGTCAGCCAAGCTCGCAGCTGACCGTCCCGTGGGCGTGTCATCTTCGATGTCCAGCCCAGTCAAGCCTTCAGATGAGTCCAGCCCTGGTTGGAGAGACTCCAAGCCAGACTGTTCGGCCAAGCCCCTCCTGATTTCCCAGCCCGGAAAACCACAAGCAAAGTAAAGCTGCAAAGTAAAGCTACAAAGTTGGGGAACAAGTGGTTGTACCACAAGAGTACTCGAAATGCCGGTGGTAGCGGAACCCCACTGTCAAGGACCTGGAGGTACAATAGAATGGGTCACACAACGTCCCCTACATACCTGCAGAGGGACAAATGTCACAAGGGCAGCATCAGGCCACCGTGGGCTTTGCTCCTCCAGGATGAGTCCCCTTGAACACCGAGGGTGATGGGGCCCTTGGTACCATGCACCCAAGGCACAGTAAACGTTGCTAGGGAGTGAATCTTTCTGCAGTCAGCTCCTTTCTGGGGGTGGTGGCATGGGAGGGGTGGGTCCCAAACTCCAGAGAGTCGCCCCCCAGGGGCTGAGCAGTGTCTGATGCAAAACAGAGACTGGGGTGCCACGGAGTCCAACGAGGGAGAGATTTATGCCTCTTACTCTCCATCTGCAAAGCAAAACAAAAATAGCTGAAACGCTGGTTTTCTGCTTTATCGGCTCTGTGAATAAGTATATAAATTTCTATGACATTCCTGGAGGCTTGCTGAAGGGGAAAAAAGCCATCCCCCAGGACGTGGCCAGCAGCCGTGGCAGCATATGGTTTGCTGAGAGCAGAGGCAGAGTGCGTTGTGTGTTGGTGGGCACTGAAAAAGGTGACTTTGCGGGTAATTCCAGACTCCAGACAGAATTTTCACCTTTTTAAAAAATTTTCCTTTTTTTTTTTTCATTAAAAAAAAAAAAAAAAGTCTTGCCTAAGCCAAGGGAGCTGTCATGGCCAATGGCTCCTCAGCAGGGAAGCGGGATTATGTGGGGGCAAGCACAAGGAGGCCAGTCCCATCCCGGGCACCTTGGGGCCCCAGGCTGCCTTGAGAGCTCATGGTCAGCCTCTGGAATGGGAAGAGAATACCCCAGTGACAAGCTCACCTAGAAGAAAGGGGGAGACAGTCCGCAGAACACGTGGAAAGCCCAGAATAACTGAAGAACAAGAACGGGAATGTAGCATTTTCCTTTTCGCTCCAGTGTGGACTCAGGCAGGAAGTTCAAAGAAGACGTCTCCAAGCCCAGGAGGCAGCAGGAGCCAAGACCAACATCAGGTCGACATCAGCCCAACAGGGAGACAAGGCCCACCAGCCTCCCACCTGGAGGCAGCAAGGGCATGGCTTGCACGTAGTTTCATGGGGATGGAGAAGACCAGCAAACTATTCAGCTCCCTCTGGACTTAAATTCCATGATTAGACTGATGCTTCTGGCTCAGGCCAAACAGGGGCTTTGTCCCCCTTTAGGCTGTAATTACACCTTTCCCTTGTGCACACTATTACATTGGTTTCTTATCAGTCATTTACACTTTAGTATAAATGAGTATATTACAAACGACCTTGAAAGTAAATCAATATGAGGAAGAGGGAGAAAGAGAACATGAAGGCACTGAGGTGGGGAGAAAGATTGATGGCAAAGCATAAGCAAAGAGATTCGAAGAAGGAATAGAGAAGAAAAAGATAGCCCATAAACAAGCCTAGATTTCTGTTGAGTTTCATCCAGAACCCCACCCTGCTGTGGCAAGCCAGGCTGCTGAAGGGATAAAGTGGCTGTAAATACTCAGAAAATGAAATAGTGCAAACAGAAGCACTGTGTCTGGTGTGGAGAAATGAGCCGTCCTCTCTCTCTCTTTCCAGGAGCCTATACTAGGGATAGAGCCCTTTCGGTGTGTGCCTCTCTCCCCAGTGACACTCTGAAAGTCTTAAGACAGAGAATTCTGCCTGCCTCCTCTTTGTACCTCTAGGCAGCACAGATTTGTGAATGGGCCACACCTGAGAACTAGGTAGCAAATTGTCTGTCATTTCAGCAAAGATACCTCGTGCCCGGTGCTGGGCTGGGATTGGCATACTTTGAAACACACACAGCCCTGGCCTGGGAGAGAAGTCACAGCAGAAGTCTCAGAAGCTGGGCCAGATCCTTTGGACCGTCCAAGCAACCAGACCAGGATGTCTTATGAGAACCTGGGGATCCTATCTATAGCCAGAGAAACCCTTGTCCTCTGTTGGCTCAGCTGTGGTCAGTGCCAGAAGGCAGGAAGGAATAAGCAGAATTCCAGAAAGCTCTTGGGATGGTGGGACCAAGAATTTGGCAAATGGAGAGCAAATTGTTGTAGGAACTAGATCATTCTGTGATCAGATCGGGGGGTAGGGGGCAGAAGTGTCACTGGTACTGTTAAGACCTCCAACCTTGTTCTTACCATCTCTCCAGCTGCACTGGTGTGGGGGGGCCAGGGGTGGGGCCCAGAACGATCTGCCTATCCCTTAACCCTCAGAATCCAGGCATGTGAGCTTATTCGGGACAAGAATCTCTGCAGATGTAGCTCAGAATCTGGTGAGAAGGTCATCCTGGATGTTCCAAGTGGCCCCTGGATCCAATGACAAGTGTCTTTGTAAGAGACACAGGGAGGAAGGACACACATGGAGAGAAAAGGCCACATGACGTCAGAGGCCGAGATTGGAGGGATGCGGCTACGAGCCAAGGAACACTGGGAGGGGAGCCACAAGAAGCCGAAAGACATGAGGAGGGATCCTTGCCTAGAACCTTCTGAAGGAGCACAGCCCTGCCTGCCACCTCGATTTCAGACCGCTGGCCTCCAGAACTGAGACACCATCTATTTCTGTCTTTGTAAGCCCCCTGGTGTGTGGTAACTTGTTACTTTGGGCCCAGGGAGCTCATACAACTGGTCTCATTGTTCCTCAAACAAGCCCCCCACACACACACACTCTCACCTCCAAGCTTTTGCACCCACTGCTCCCTCCGCCTGGAACGTTCTCCCAGATGCCAGTGTGGCTTGCCCTCTCACCCCCTTCAGGTCTCGCTTTTTAGGAAAGCCCCACTGGGCGGCCCCCATCTAAAAATACTGCCCCACACACCCCCTCCGCGCTACCCATGTCCCTGCTTGGCTTAACTCTTTTCGTAGTGTTTATCACCTTCCAACCTACTAGAAACGGAGCATACCTATTTTGTTGATCACCTGTGGTCTCGCCTTTGCAAGGATCTTTTGCTGACTATTCTGTTCACAGCCCTTTCTGCAGCACTTAGGACAGTGTCTGGCTCGGAGTAGGCGTTCGATAAATGTTTCGCAAATAAATGACTGATCTGAGCGCATTAAGAATATTAAGGGAAATAATGATGCCTATTCCACACGGCTTTATACGGAGCTGCCTGCTTTTATCAACACTGTCTCTTTTGCTCGTCGCAATGGCTCCGGGAGAGGACACCGCGGCTTTATCTCCCAGAGAAGGGATCTCGAAGAGGCCAGAGTCTGAGTCTACCTTCACCGACTCTACAGCCCTGCCTTCCTTCTAGCGCACGCACAAGCAAAGGCGTCTGCTCAGGAGTTGCCAAGAACACGGGACCTCGCATTGTGAGCGGGGCAGAGCTAATTATGAATCACGTAATACATGTTTAATGCTCAATATTGGGAGGTTGGCATCTGTGTGTGTGTGTATGCGTGCATGCTTGTGTGTGTGTGTGTGTGTGTGTGTAATTAAGATTGAGGAGGCTTGTTCCCAACGACTATGATCGTTGCCAAAGTCATTATCTCTACGCTATAAGGATGTGACGTTCAGATTCATTCATTCAACAAACGCTCATTCAGCAAACACTGGAGCACACTGACCTGCTCTCACCCGCTTGGCCCAGCCACGAGGTCACCTGTAGCTCGGTGGATGGTACCAAACATTCCATGGGCTTCCACTCTCAGACATCTGTCTCTCCACCTTCAGGCCACACCACAGGCAGCGGGAGGCAACACCCCAGGGAAAAGCCTCAGCCTTGAGCGGGATGGGGAGCTGGAGTTGGTCCCTAATGACCCCAGCTTCTTTGCCCCTCTGTCGAGGACCACTCTGGCCTGTGTGTCACAGTCCTCCAAAAGGCCCCCACGTGCTTCCAGGGCTTTCCTCCCTTCTCTGTCTTGCTTCTGGACCCCCTCACTGTGCTCCCCGGGATGTCCTCCCAGATGCATGACTCATACCCACATCTTTGTCTCAGGGTCTGCTCTGATACCAGGCGAACTAGGACGCTCTTGCCATGTGCTGCAGAGCCCGTTAGCAGCTGGAGAGTCAGAGCTGAGTGAGCCATGGCGAGGTGCCCAGAGTCACAGAATGACGGTCCCCACAACGGAGGAATCTGGAAAGTCGGCTCCCTCTGAAATGTGGCACTCCCTCTGGCAGTGTATATCAGCTCTGTGAACTCTGGGGACATGCCAGAGGGGTGACATATCACTAAGTCGTTTTCCGAAAACACCTTCCAGGGCCGTTGACAAGCCAAGCAAGAAAGTCAAGCTCATCCAGCTGTTGTGGTTCGTCACACCTCATTTTTGATCCTGGAAAGGATGTGATGGTTCCTAGAGCCCCTGGGTCTCTCCCGAGCCTGCTGCTGGGCACGGTGTTTCAGCGAGGTGGATCTGGGTTCCCCAGTGTGGCCAACTTCTCACCTGGTCACCAAGGTGTGGCCCATGGGACCAGGATCTGTGGCCTCTGAAGCCACCTGAAAGCACGGGACACGGGCCCCAAAGATCCAGGCATGAGACGTGTCCTCAAAGTATTTTTGAGCTACAGTAGCCTGGTGATGTGGCAAATGACCCCCCAGGGGCCTCCCTCAGAGATGAGGCTCAGTAGCAAGAGGCAGTTCTAGAACGCTGGGTTTTGTTTTGTTTTGTTTTGGCTTTGGCTTTGTTTTTAAGATATTAGAACTTTTTTGGAGATTTTATTTATTTATTTGAAAGAGAGAGAGACAGAGAGAGTGAAAGAGAGAGAACACAAGCAGGGGGAGGGGTAGGCAGAGGGAGAAGTAGACCCCGCTGAGCAGGGAGCCCGACGTGGGGCTCGATCCCTAGACTCGGGGATTATGACCTGAACTGAAGACAGACGCTTAACCGACTGAGCCACCCAGGCACCCCAAGTTTTGGGGCTTTTTTAAGATTGATTGATTGAGGGACACCTGGGTGGCTCAGTTGGTTAAGCGGCTGCCTTTGGCTCAGGTCATGATCTTAGCGTCCTGGGATCAAGTCCCACATCGGGCTCCTTGCTTGGTGCAAAGCCTGCTTCTCCCTCTGCCTCTACCTGCCTCTCTGCCTGTGCTCGCTTTCGCTCTCTCTCTCTCTCTCTCTGACAAAATAAAATAAAAATTTTTTAAAAAAAGATAGATAGATTGATTTTTTTTTTAAGATAGAGAAAGAGAAAGCATAAGCAGGAGGGGCAGAGGGAGAAGGAGAGAGAATCTCGGGCAGACTCCCCACGGAGCTCAGAGCACAACTTGGGATTTGATCTCACAACCCTGAGATCATGACCTGAGCTGAAACCAAGACTTGGACACTTAACCAAATGGGCCACCCAGGCGCCCCTAGAATGCTGGGTTTTAATACTAGGTCTTATTAGCTTCAAATTATACCATTACTGATATTAAATC